TTATTATTATTATTATTATTATTATTATTATTATTATTATTATTATTATTATTATTATTATTATTATTATTATCATCTCATCTGTTTACACAGCGAGATTCGATATAATTAGATGTTTATAATGAAGATTTTTCTGGTTAATGGGAATATGTAATATTTCTACACACGTAACACACACATTAGCTATCTATCATCCGTCCATCACGATTTCCCATATATTTGTAATATATTATACATACACGAAGCTTTTCCCTATGTATTTTTTTTAAAAAAACTGTTATGTATCATATTTTTGTATACGTAAGCCGTCCATAAAAGACAATGGTTTATTATTATTTCCTTTTTCATTTAGTTTGTATTAATAGAGAAGATGCATTTATATAGACAAAATGATAATTATTTATATATCGCCAAAATTCGTCACTCTTATTTCCATGGCGTCCCCCCCCCTTTTTCTAGTTAAACAGTCAAGTCTGTTATCATTTTCTCCGATGATTAAAGGTACGTGCGGTTTATACATGAATATTTATTAAAATACCATTTTCAAATAAGATCCATTGTCGTATGATCTTGATTTAGAAGCAATAATTACAATGAATTCTCGACATGAAATAATTATTAAATAGTATTATTATTAATGACAATGTTAATAATTAATTTATTGTGTATCAAAATCAATACAGAAAGAGCCATCGTCTATGTTCATAATCCTTTGCTACACAAAAATAACATTATACCATCTAATACCTAATTCCTGGGCACAAGATCCATCATCATCAAAGAAAGGGAAAAATAAAGATAAACATCATTAATGGATAAGCATTATTCATATTTAATAACAATAAATTCTTTACTCACATTTTGTATTTACACACTTCAGACACTGATCCATTTTCACCATAAAATTCATACGAAATTTCAATATCCAAATCCCTATTATTCTTTTTATTAGGGGAACAAGTCAGCGTGCCGGTGATTGACTCGCCATTCTTTATGGTGATAGGATCATTGGTATAGAAGACAGTTTGTTTCCAATGTGTGTATTTAGCATGTGGACCTATCATAATCGATATATACAAATCAAATTAAAATCGAATTCGCGCCAAAAGATGATAATCAAAGGTCTTCTTGCCTGTGCTAAATTGAATTGGTTTATGACATGCTGTAAAAGCAATATCAAACCAAGCGATAAAAGCATGAATATAATCATCTCGCGTAGCTGTTAACTTGAACGGAGCTGTGAAGATAAGATCCGATTTTTGAACAGTATGGATATCGATTTCCTATTTTTTTTTTTCAAAAAGGGAATCACAGTAACTTTTAAGAAACAAGTAGCAGCAATGGCAAAAAATCATGACATTCCCTAGTGTAATGACAATAATACCTTTACAGCGTATGGTGCTGTGACTACAGCCTTATAATCAACAGTATCCACTAAAGGCTCTCGAAGTGCAACAGACTTGATCGAGCTAAAATCAAATCCATATACATTATCCCAAACTTGATAAAAATAAAATATGAACAATAGTACATAGCAATTAAGATTTCTAATATAATGAATCAGTAAATATTCAGTAGATAATTATTTATTATCTTACATCCTATTTTTTCGTCTTTATATTCACCGTCTTCGATAGCGGAGAGATATATTGTTGCTTTATCGGGAAATATAAGACCACCAGGTTTCTAAGGGAAAAAAATATATAACTATGGATTACTAACAGATCATCAAATAAATCCAAATAAAAAGCATATTTTTACATTGTTCAACCCACCAAGTATTTATCCCGGGCAACCAAAACCGTATCCAACATCGATTCATACAACAAAAAGTAGCCCATCCATTCGGAGATGATGATGTCAACCTGTTGGACCGGCAGCTCAACTTCTTCCATTTTGCCTTTTATGAGCGTGATCTCTGGAGGCAAATAGATATATAATCAACAATAAATGACTTTATGTAGGGTTGATGTCGTGAGAGTTCGGGAAATTCAAAGGTTACGGTACACAAAATATCTACTGTCGTCTAATCTGTTATCCTTAACGATCTGACGAGCTTGATCGATAATATTCGACATGTCAATCTAAGTAAGACGACAATAAAAGTAAACACAATGTCAATGGCAAATAAGATGAATTAGACATTATTAACCTTACTAATAAACTCACCCCATACACGTGTTCTGCCCCCGCTTTCGCGGCGAACATTGATAGAATCCCAGTACCGCATCCAACATCTAAAACTATCTTATCTTTAAAAAGGTGACGGTTCTGATAGATGGAATTGCGATATGAAAGGGTTCGTACGTCGTCCTTTAACATTTCCTCATGTATGCCTTGAAATAAAATGTAAAATAAATCTGATTAATCGGTTAATTCAACCAGTCCCTTTCTGGAAAAAATACGTACCAAAATGAGCATATGAGTCAAAATAATAGTCTTTGCTTGTCATTTCACTTTCTTTGTGATCATTTTTGTTCGAAGCAGAAGGCTGTGACATCTTTACTTTTGCCAATAAGAATGAGCAACAGCCAAAGTCTCAACATTTGTTGAATATCGATATATCTAGTTTCACGTGATATACAGCAATTCATTGATTCGTTTGGCAATTTAATCAATTGATCACAATAATAATTAACTTGAATCTTTAGAAAATGAAATTTATTATTTACAGAACAAATGTTTCGAACAGCCTATATAATGGATGAACAGTTTATACACGAAGATAAATGGACTTATGTACTACGAAAAAGTAGAATAATATATACGAGTGAAACGATTTTGGGATAAAGAATAATTAGAACAGAACTGATGATGCTTTGATGAATAATGAAAATGAGATATATACAAAAAAGAACACTAAAAAATAGGAAATTAGAAAAAAATGTCAATTAACTAAAGTATAAAATCATGCTACATGTACAAGAGAATTCTATGTCCTCCCAATGAGCCTGCTCAGGATTATTATAAATGAATAATCGATATCCAAAATAATAATAATAATAAACAAGCAAAAGAATCTACACAAACTGACAAAAAGGAAGGAAGGATGAAAGAATAAATAATAATAATAATAATAATCATCATCATAATAATAATAACAATAAGAATCTATAATAAAAATGCAACTGTCAATTAAATCAATAATTGACAATGTTTTGGGTAAAAAAGCAACTCATATCTTTGCCAGCTCTAATTGAACTAGAAAGCTGAAGGATTATAAAAACATAGAGAAATATGATCATTATTTTTTGTGACATTGTCCGTACGCCCAGAATTCATTCACTCAATCATTCCAAGTATTGAATTTAACATGGTATTTCGCGAATACAATCCGATGTCCAAGTATCTTCCGGTATTGAGCAACGCGTATCTAGACTAGTGGTGGTTGTATTATTATTAGGTCTGCCATGAAACGAAAAATAGGGTTCTGGTGATGTTGAGGGTGAAAATTCATTGTCTCGTGGAGGAGACGATGCAGCGGATTTTTGTGAATTTCTTGCCATTGCTATTGCAGATGGTGTTGTAGAAGAAGCAATTAAACGTCTACTACTATTATTATTATTACTACTATTATTATTATTATTATTATTATCATTATTATCATTATAATTATTATTAGGTGTAAGAGAGACTACAATATTTATTGGTGATAGACTATTAGCAGTTCCAAATGCTGACACCGAAGGCACAGGTGACCCAACGATAATTGATGACTCTGAATCAGTTATTATTTCACTTGATTCATTAGCATTCCAATTATGATTTAAACACGCGGCCTCGGCTGCTTCAATTTCTTGTTGGAGCGCACGAAGTTCAAGTGATAACGACGATAAGTGGTCACGGAATCGATCATAATCGGATTTTTGATCTCGACGACACGAGTCGATTCCATCGGATAATTCTTCGCAAAGAACAAGTCCTTGTTCGTCATTTTTTTGCTCCTCCTCGGTTTCAGATTGAATTGTCGAATCGTCGTTGTCTTCTGTTGGAGTAGATTCGTTTGAGGAGGAGGAGGAGTTATTTTGATTGAAATAATCTTGTTCTGGTTGTCGGTCGTTGTCGGGGCGATAGTCTTTTCCAGTACCCCGAGTACCGTGAGAGTTTCGGTAATGATCTCGGATTGGTGGTGTGAATTCGTCGATTTCGTCATCCCAGTTTGGGAATGACCAATTATGTTCGGTGTATTGTTCATTATCTCCTCCGACTTTTGTTGGATATTCATATCGTGAGAAGTTGGGGTAGTAATAAGGGGAATAAGTCTTTTGTTCTGGTCGTTGTGTATCTTTAAAGACCATTCTTCTGTATTATTATAGTTTTTATTATAGTTTTTATCTTTTACTGACGGGTTTGGTTCCGCTTCTTCTTCTGATTCTTGCTGTTTTTCTTCCTCTTTAAAAGTGTCTAAAGTCTCAATTTGAATATGATTTTTATTAATATCAATAGATAGACTTTCACTATCAGTGATGATGTGATTGGCGACGGTACTAATGGTGTCGCTCTCGTTTTCGCCTTTAGAAATAGAGGTCTCAGAGTTATCGAGCAAGACTTCTTCGGTCAAAGTGTCAATAGAGTTAGTGGTAGAATTCTCGGATGTCGAAATTAGTAGGGGAGATTTTTCGAGAATGTTAGATTGCAAAGGTTCTTGTATTTTCAAATTTTCAACCTGTTGTCGCAAGATGACCCCCTTGTCTTTGTTGGTGTTATTAGATACTCCGACAGAATTATTAGTGGCTTTAGGTGGAATAATATAGTGTGCACGAATGAGTCTAAATGTTGTTGGTTTATTCCTCGTAGAATCTCTTCTTTGATGGTAACTATTATTGAGTTTTTCTTGTCGAGTAGTATCAAACTTGTTGACAGTGGTGGTATTGGTGTTTGTGTTTTTGTTTGTGTTCTGGTGGTAGTTGACGCTATTGGTGGTGGTGGTGTCGGTATATGTTGCAGCTACCGGATATTTTAAGAACGAGTACAACCTTTCTAAAAGAAACATGTCAAAAAAATAATCTGTTTAATAGTGCATATGATGCGTATGTGTTAGGTATATGGAATCAAACGCTTTTGTTTGACCGATTGTGATATTAATTAATTAATTAATCGATTGAAAAAATCAATAATATGGTGGGTGGGAAAATCTCTTTCTATGAAACAAGTAAAGGAAACAAGTAAAGGAAACAAGCAAACAGTGATAGTTTTTGGATGTTGAGGTAAGGTTTTCTCCTCTTATATATTATTTCAAAATATAAACAACAACGATAATAATGTATGTATATATATATACATATATATATAAAGTGTAATAAGTAATAACAATGCCCTGAACTTACCAGGCCAAGCAGACGACCAAGACAATGAATGACACGATGATGATGATGACGATGATAATGACAACAATAATGTCCTGCTTCCTGCTGTTGGTGAATTTTTTGTTACTGATTGATTGAAATTATGATGACAATATGATCTTTTTATCCCGATTTTGTTGGTGGTGTTTGATGCTACTCCAACTCTAGAAGAAGAGAGTACACTACAGACTATTGCTTCAGCGCACGCTTGTATGAGAAAGTAGCTGTTGCTGCTAGTGAGATGATTTTGGTAAAAGGGAGAATCGAATTTTTTTTCGCGCGGATGCTTAAATAAAATCAATCAATCAATCAATACCGATACTCGCACATTCTCTGTTAATGCATGCATATATATATCGCTGATTAATTAATATAAATAAATCAAGTAGACACTCAATCCCCTTTTTTTTTAACTAGCAGTATCATAAAAAAGGTCCATCCGTCAGAATTTTTAAAGGATGTTGTGAATTAAGAATTATACAATTCAGTTTTTGTGTTCCGCATGATGAACTCACTCGCCGCAAATCCCCACGATATGTGGTCGATGATGCGATTATTAATTTGCTAAATTTAGGCCAAGCATATATACAGCAAGAAACAAACATATATATTTTTGAACGTTTGACCTTCTGACTATAATAATCATTAGAACAATATAAATGTTTTCATCGTGCAAGGAGAAAAAAAAATAATTGCAATATCGACATTTTTCTTTTTCCTCCCCCGCAAATTGATCTTGTTTTAGTTTCACAGAAAATCCCTGTATGATATAATATCGATATAATGGATAATATGTAATAACGATAATATCAATAATGATCATTGTTAATGAATAAGTTGTATCACTGGTCCCTTTTAAGCGATTTTTGTATTGTACTCGGATGCTTCGAATGAGGGTTATGTATGGTAACATAAAACTTTAACGACAAATGACGATCTACTCATAATCCCCTCTATGTGAAAGTACCCTAATTGTAAACTTAAACCGTAATTATATGGGTATGTTGGTTAACATACCAATGTTGGTAGAATTCTGTCATACATGTATACCGTCGTCGTCGTCGTGACGATGAAACGGGTACAGCACGGTATGGTATGTAAATACATGTGGTTTCAACATGTTGATTTGTTGGTCTATATCGTTAACGGTGAAAATCGACGATATGTATGCATGGCATCGTAAATAATGATTATTTTTATGCTTGAGAGAAAAAATATGTGAGTGATGTATGTACGATTGTATCAAACAGACAGAAGAAGAATAATAAAAGTACGTATCTTTGCGCATTGATATCATGCAATTTTTCTCTACATTCCCGCCGCAAACAAAACCTGCAACATTTGTTACTATTCTGCTTAAGAGATACCAAACATGGTGTGGTACAGTTTTTTATCATTCATCTGACGTTACACTCTTTTAATTTATGTGTGCTTATGTGTCACGGTTCATAAATTACGGTACACGATGATACCGTTCTTGGCTCTTTAACGACCAAAATGTTATTTCAATGAAAAAGAACTGTGAAATTAGGGATACGTCCATTACACAAACTTATTAAAATGTTGATTAGATCGTAAATTCTTTTTTGCGATAACCTGTTTTGCGTGAGATTGCATCATCGAGGATCCCTTGATCAAATGAACACGTTGTCTCCGCCCCTTTACTCCCTTTTAATTTCGTCATCGTTGTCGTCGTCGTCCTCGGTGGTGGTAGATTCTCTGGGAAAAATAAGTCTTTATTCTTCATGCATAAAGCCATCGTAAATGATGCAATTGAACATGAATTTGCAGAAAATAGTCCATTGATTCGTGTTTATTAATAGACTGACAAAAATGTATTTCATTTTATCCATCTATAGAAAAATACTATTAAAAGATAAGAATAGACACTTAGTATCACCGATTATCCTTTAAAGGAATATACTCTTATCACAGACGACAAAAGGTATGCATAGCCTCAAAAGTTTCACAAATGGAAATCCCGAATCATGCCGTTATAGTGTTTTTTGAACTCTAAATTCGGTATTTGTATAGTTGAACGGTTGGTACAAGTGTGGGGACTTTGATTCAATTTCATCACATCCACCCCAACATAAAGTCAAACTAAACCATATCTTTACCGATTCCCATGTTTTCATACTAACCTGCTTGCCTAAAGTATAAACACATGAATCGAATGCGAGCCCAAAAAATCAGGATTTTCAGAGAAAAATAATTAATTAATATCGGTATAATGACATTTTTACAAATGAAGAGAAAAAAAAAACATGCACTTACATTATTGTTACGACGCTTAACTCGCTAACTATAACGAATCAACTACATGTCTATTATTAAAGTTTCAATCGAATTGAACCGAACCAACATGAATCATCTATCGGAGAATATAAAAAATAATGTGGGGGATATACTGCTGAGTGTCCACGTTTAAGAACTCTAATTTGGTAATATGGTGATGACGAACGACGATTACTCTTGATCTTGTGTTCCGATGATATTGGTTCCACCTTCTTGTACAAGTTCTCTTTACTTTTTTTTTCTTTTCATCTCACGGATAACTCGTTTCTCTTCTCAATTAGTGATAACAAAGCACAATAATCCAAAAAAAAAAACTTGAATTTGCACACCAATTAAAATCCAGTATATCTTCTTGTTTTTTTTTTAATCGGAGCTGTCAAAAAAATTGAGATTACCTTCATTCTTATTCCGAGATGATCATCCATCAAACACATGCAATTATTTTTTTTTTCATGTAGTATATTAACGATGAAATAAAGGTCACAGATTATTATTATTGTTATTGTTTGGTTATTGTTATTAACAATTTTTTGTGAACTCGCTCTTTGTTGTGTCAAAAAATAAAAATTGGACCACATGATGGAATTGAAAGACATATGATACTTTCTTCTCAACAATGGAACAATAACGATAATGGATGCGTCTTTCTACATAATCTGATTGATTATCCCTTCTCTAACGATAATTGTTGAGGGAAAACGAAAATGACGATTAGTCAAAAGTTTTCTCTGCTGCTTACATACATGGACTATCTGAAAGTCCCATTATTTTTAGTAAAAGAATCAATCTTGCATTGATGAAAGATAAGTTTCTAAAAGGAAGGCTAATTACTTGTGAGGGTGCAGGTATTTCTTTTTTGATGACCGAAATAGTAATTTTAGACATTAAGATATTATGTGAATCAAATTTTAGCCAGGACATGGTTGAATTATCAAGTCCGAGTTGTACGACTTTTAATTTCATCCACATTTTATACATATCGATATATAAAGAAATAAAAGATTCCAAATTCAAAACAATATAATCAAAGGGTCACCAACAAGGGAACACAAAGTGGTTCAGTCATGGCATTAAAAGTGGTAGTGGTAGTAGTGGTGATATTACATGCAAAGTATATTGCAGGCCGGTGAAACAAACAAGAAAAAAAGAACGATCAAGGTTTCGGAGAAATTATAACCACCGATGATAATAAATAGGGAGTATCATATATTAAGCTTACAATTGGTAATACTTGAGAATATTTTAAAATGGTGTACGAAAAATATTGGATAAGGTTAGTGATGATAAGTCGCTGACAAGAAAAGGGCAAGAATATGAAATAAATATTTTTTTCATAATGATGAACATCATATTTACATGAATTTAATCAACGTAAAATGTTCAATTTTATTTCCATGATAAATTTAAATACAAGATTGTAATTACTAATTATGAATTCTCCAATCCGTATCCAAATTTTTTGAACTCTCTATTTCTCCTAATTCCAATTCCTCTTCTTCCTCTTCAAGTGCATTAAATATTTCAGCAACACTCACAATAACTTCTTCCAATTCAACTTTAAATTCACCCGGCTTCAACGTCTCGATAAACTTTACGATAATCTTACCAAACGAACCGCCATGATTGTCAATCGGGAGCTCGATGGGCTGTCCTATCTGTTGTTGAAATAACATCATTCTTGATGACGAAAAATTATCATTATTGTTCTCAAGATCGATTTCACCTTCTGTCACTTTATATAGTTTTGTGATTCTGTCCGTTTTCACTGGATGCATTCGGATCAGATTCACCCACGCCGAATTTGACTTTTGCACCGAGAATATGTATTGTGGTGGATGATCTGAGGCAAATGAGAAGTGACATCGGGGCGAATCTTCCATGTAGAGGAAATTTAGTTGGTTTGCAAATAGAGAATTGCATGAAACTTCGAGCTGTTATCATTTTTATTATAAATATCGTTATCGATGAAAGAGATTTAATATCAAATCGAAAAAATATAGATATCTAAATACTTACAACTAAATAATAACCATTCTCTTTAAATGCTTTGGTCACGCGTTGTGAAAGAATGTCATGAGCTATAATTCTGAAATTACGGTTTACACGCATAAGACTACGCTCTAGTGTACGCGAGTTTAATAGACTAAACACCTGCGAAAGAATTTCATTAGGAAGAGCAGATAATTTAAAAGTCATATTGTCTCTTGTGTTGATACATCGAAGTGTTGATTAATTTTACATCTGTAAATTATTGCTATTTTTGAACACGTGATTTATCAAATTTTCTAATATTTTTACAATTGACCAATTTATAATATATCCAAAGAATACAACTTTATAATTATTTTTTTTATTATGATTACAACAAAAATCTCCATTTTAGATTAACTTGCAAAATTAATTTATCAAAAATATGATAAATACTTAGTTTTATTTAATCATAAATATTAAAAGTGAATATAATATTAAATTTGATTTAAATTAAATTAGATTTTTTTATGCTTATTAATAAAATATTTATAATTAATTATCTTGTAAAAATAAATTCATAAATAAAAATATTTTTAGATTTTATTTGAAGAATATTTCTGCTTGAAAAATTATTATAAAAATATTCTTATAATTAAATTTGATAAAATTTATATTTTAATTGTAAAAAATTAAATAAAATTTAAAATCCAAGAAAAATATATAGTAACTAATATAATTATAAAAGTATATATATAAGTTTATTAATAAAATAGTAAAAATTAAATTTTTGTCTTATATAGTCAAACCTCTTTATAGTCATTACCCTTGGAAAAGCAAAATTTGGTGACTTATAGAGAGAATGTGACTATAGAAAGATTTTTTTATTATATTTATATGTAAATGAGAAAGCAAAATAAAGTAACTATAAAGAAGTGTGACTATAAAGAGATTTGACTGTTGTTACCATTTCATCAAAAAAATTTGTAATTACTTAATTATTGATCAACAAAAATTAAGATGTATTACAAAGAACA